TAGTAAATTGTTCCTGAGCGGTTCAGTTCTGCAGCTCTTATTATCTTCTCCAACATCAGATTAAAGAAGTCACATGAAAGGGATTCGCCCTGTCTGAAACCACGTTTGGTGACGAACGGCTTGGAGAGGTCTTTCCCAATTCTGACGGAGCTGGTGGTATTGCTCAACGTCATTTTACACAGCCGTATGAGTTTTGAGGGGATGCCAAATTCAGACATAGCGGCGTATAGGCAACTCCTTTTAGTGCTGTCAAAAGCGGCTTTAAAGTCGACAAATAGGTCGTGAGTGTCGATCCTTTTCTCGCGGTCTTTTCCAAGATTTGACTATATTGTGAATACCTGGTCTATGGTGGATTTGCCAGGTCTAAAGCCACACTGATAAGGCCCAATCAGTTCATTGACGGTGGGCTTCAGTCTTTCACACAATACGCTCGATAAGACCTTGTAACCTATGATTATAAGGCTGATCGCGCGGTAGTTGGCGCGAATGGCGGGGTCACCCTTTTTGTGGATTGGGCGGAGCACACTTAAATTCCAGTCGTCGGGCATGCGTTCATCTGACCATATTCTGCACAAGAGTTGATGCATGCACCTTATCAACTCCTCGCCGCCGTACTTGAATAGCTCAGCTGGCAGGCTGTCAGCTCCAGCAGCTTTGTTGTTTTTCAGCCGCGTTATTGCTATACGTACCTCGCCATAGTCAGGCGGTGGAACGTCGACTCCGTCATCATCGACTGCGGGCTCGAGTTCTTCTTATCCACAACTTTCCGTGCTGCTTCCATTAAGTAAGGCGGAAAAGTGTTCCCTCCATAACTTAAGTATGCTCTGGACATCGGTTACTAGGTCACCATTGTTGTTCTTACAGGAGTACGCCCTGGTCATGAAACCTTCCGTAAGTCGCCTAAATCTCCGGTAAAGTTTTCGGGCATTCTTCCTGTCGGCCAGCATTTCAAGCCCTTCGCACGCACGTATTTTGGCCTCTCTCTTCTTATTGCGGCAAATACGTCTCGCTTCCCTCTTCATATCCTTATTGCGGTCCCACATAGCGCGCGTTCCGCCCGATCGCAGCGTGGCCCTGTAGGCGGCATATTTTTTCTCTGCAGTTTCCTGACACTCCTCATCGTACCAGTTGTTGTTTCGGGCTCGCTGAAATCCGACTTCTTCGGCGGCGGTACTTAATGAGCGGGAAATGTGGTTCCACTGCTCGCATATGTCGGTTTTTTGAAGAGTGCACTCTGAGAGCAGGTGTGAGAGTCGAGTAGCGAAGTAGCAAAAGCGCTGGCTGTCTGTTGTGATTGTAGCTTTTCGACGTTAAGCTGTATGCTTGTTTTATGTTTTATGCTTGAACCTAGTACTGCATACTACCATGTTGCGGGCCCCGGTGAAGTCAATCAGCCTCAATCCGTTGTCGGACGTTTCGTCGTGGAGGCTGAATTTTCCGACGGTTGACGAGATGTTGAAGAATCTCGCTTTGACGCGGATTGTGGCTAGACGCTCGTCCACCGGGGTGAACGACAGTACTCGGCGACGGAGTCTCTCTCCCACCACAAATCCAACTCCAACTTTGCGCGCCTTTACATGGCAGCTGTAGTAGACGTCGCAAAGCCCAAGACACTGTTTGCCTTGCCCCGTCCAACGCATTTCTTGGATGGCGGTGATGTCAGCTTTTTTCCTTACGAGGACATCAACCAGCCGGGCAGAGGCACCTACCTTCCCCATTAAGGGTCCGGACATTCCAGGTGCATGCCTTTAAATCATAGTCCTTTAAACGTTTGCCACGGTCGTAATCATGGGGGTTAGGGGTCTCATCTGAGGCTTTGCCTTGCTTCTTCACTGGAAGTAGTTTTTACTTGGCGGGTCCCGAACCCAGCGATATAAAAATTCTACGTCGGAATTTCGTTTTCTGCTCCGATTTATCACGTCGTTTACTCCGAAGGCTTTATTAAAACTTTAAACTATGTGATTTTTTGCCATTTTTCGCAATTTACTCGAAATTTTGAGGGAGTAGAAGTCAAACGGACCTCGGGTTCAGCGGGTCGAATTACTTGTCGGTAGGTGGGTCTGGTTAAAAGCACACAGCAATTTTTTGTGTTCTATGTATAATATGTACTTAAATATGTATGTATGTATATACCAATTATTATTCTGATTTTTGTTTACCTGGAAATTTGATTTCAAGTATAAAAACCAGTAAAAAAAATGTATTTACTGCCGTCAAACACCGTTTTCTTAAATGGTAGGAAAGAAGCCATTTTGGTAGGTTTTTGAACCAGATCTTGGTAGGAAAGAGAGTTTTTCAGTGGTAACCCTGATCATGGGATATGGCACAAATACAGGAATTTAAAGAAAATACATATAAATTAAATAAATTACTAGGACGGTCCCGTACAATACAGGACGGTTGGTCACTGCATGTATAGTTGAAGCGAGAGTTTTTTTTGCGGAATTGCCATTTCTCCACATTTTTGTGATGCAAAATTTACCAAATCACTACATATTATAAAACAAAGTCACTTTTTCTGTCCCTATGTCCCCTTAAATGCTTAAATCTTGAAAACTAAGCAACGGATTTTGATGCGGTTTTTTTTTAATAGATAGATTGGTTGAAGAGGAAGGTTTATGTCATTATAATGTGAAGAAATATATAAAGGGGGCGTGGCAATCGGACAAAATGTGGTAAAAACCCATAAATTTTTTGTTTACACAGCCATAAATCATAAAAGAATCCACCGATTAAAATGAAACTTACTTGAAGTTAAACTTTGAAATATTTACATTCGTTCTGCATCAAAAAAAATAGTTGATTCATATCTTATTTAACCAAAATTGTTTAAACAAAAGCAGCACTTTTTCCAAAAAAAGCTGTTTGTGTGTTTGTTCGCTGTCAACCGAATGAAACATTAGAAGTTATGCGGGAATCTCACCCCACCTCATTCATGTCGAATTAGATCGTATGGTGAAAGAACTCGGTACGTATGTATGTAAGTACATATGTACGAATCTCTCGCATAATTAAATTTCGGACGTATGTATGTATGTATGTATGTATTTTCAATTCATGTCTTTATTGCCGTACTGAATTCCATTGCATTGAGGGTTTTTATACAGAAAACCCAAATTTGAAAAATTTTTAGTTGTGAGTGTTTTTTCAGCGAAATAAACCGCTCTGTTCACGTTCTATATTAATAAATCGCACATAATTAAAATACAGTTTTTGAATAGTTTTTATTGATTCGGAGCGCGCGTTAGATATTCCAAAGATAGCAGGAAATCTTCATGGTATAAAGAAAGGGGAACTGTTTTACTCCAAATGTAACGCGTGCGGGCCACGGGCAGTAATGAATAAATCAAAACTACGGGATCGATTTTAATCATTTTTTCAGTGAGTGACATAGGCCTTATATTTTATTTCCGTGCGAAGCCGGGGCGGGTTGCTAGTTGAGAATAAAATACAAAAACAAAGGATTTTTGGCCCAAATTAAAATAAGTTCATGTGTTTTTAATGTTGTTATACTTTTAATGCAATAAATTATTGCATAACATTAGTTAGAAAATTTTAATGTTAAAACAAAAAAATATAGACAGCATTAGTTTGTTCGAAGTAATGCAATCAAATTGTATTAAGAATTCAATTTTCAAAATTAACGCAATAAATTTGGAAAATTAATGTATTAACATTAAAATGCTAACGCATAAAAATGTACGAGTTTATTAGTTGGTGAATTATGCAGGACGCGCAAGAAGTAAGGTCAAGTATTCGTTTCGGCATAACTACTATGATTAGACGTGTTATAAGCAGAGAGCCTTAGCTTGAAAAAAATTTGTTTTTAACAAGCCCGGAAACAATAAATCCAGGTGTTTCACGGTTAACATTCCTGAGGGTCAATTCTCGTTCTGCGTTACTCGCAAGTGATAAAAATAACACTTTCTGAAAATCCTTTCCCGACACTCCCGATAAAACCGCAACCCCGCAAATTCCCAAAATCTTCCCTAAAAACGATGTTTGAAAAATGCACTTTTAATGTTTTATTGAGACGAAAACGAACATCAAAGCAAAACAAAATAATCGGAAGATGCCAGATCTTTCATTATTATTTTTATTATTTAAAATTTATTTGAAAGACATAAACATTTTTGTCAAGTTTCGATCGGTTTGCAAACCACGCCACACACGTTGAAATCTCAACCGATCGTTTCAATTTGTTGTCTTTTTGAAGCCTGCTTTAGAAATAGATATCGTGATCCACGGGATCCGCGGTACAACTCTGAAAAACGTCGGGATGGTCGGGTTCGGGACTTAAATATCGAATTTCGGGATGGGCGGGATCGGGATTAAATAGTTATTATATTATGTACATATAACAGTTTCCGCGAAAGCCTTATCTTTTCAGTGTGTATTCACTAATTAAATTTTTTTATATTTATAGGTTTACAGGTTGTGCTAAATTCGATCTTGCGGGCAATGATACCACTCCTACATATTGCGTTGTTAGTATTATTTGTTATTATTATATATGCCATTATTGGTCTAGAACTGTTTTCGGGAAAGCTGCATAAAACATGTCTTCGCCCGGACACAGGTTTGTTTGATTTTATTTTTAAGAGCCAAAATAAATCTCAAAGTTTTTTATATATTTTTTTCTGATGTTCAAAGGCGAGATAATGGAGGATGAGCATCCCTGTGGTACAGGTTTCCGATGTCCTGACGATTATGTTTGTCATGAAAAATGGGACGGTCCTAATTATGGAATAACAAATTTCGACAACTTTGGTCTGGCCATGTTAACTGTATTCCAATGTGTTACACTTGAAGGTTGGACAGATGTATTATACGACGTAAGTCAAAGCAATGTACAGACATTCTCTGAAATATATGAGCGATTCACAACGGTGTCGTAAGAGTCGTATTGTTGTATGTCGTAAACTTTAAAAGCTTAAATAAATGTTTAGAGAACTTGAAACGACAATCAACTATTTTTTAGCACTACAAAAAATCATAATATGACTTTGATGGTACTTTGCGAACTCCCTTAATATAATTCTTAGCCGTTTAAAGTTTACGACATACAACGATACGACACTTACGACACCGTTGTGAATACCCCAATAATAATATAATAACACAATATTTTTTAATTATTTTTATTCCCTATTTAATAGATACAAGATGCCATGGGTAGTACCTGGCAGTGGATATACTTTGTTTCAATGGTTATCCTAGGTGCTTTTTTTGTAATGAATTTAATTCTTGGTGTGCTGTCTGGTGAATTTTCAAAGGAACGAACAAAAGCAAAAAATCGTGGAGATTTTCAGAAACTTAGAGAGAAGCAACAAATTGAGGAGGACGTACGGGGCTACCTGGATTGGATTACTCAAGCTGAAGATATTGAACCAGATGTGGATGGTAATTTAACGCAGGATGGTAAAACAAAACAGTCCAATGAGATAAATTCGTCGGATCAATTGGAAGAAGAAGGCCAGGAAGTTCAAATATCTGAGTCGTGGTGGCGCAAGAAGAAGAAAGATTTGGATCGTTTAAATCGTAGGATGAGGAGGTCCTGTCGAAAGGCTGTGAAATCACAAGCCTTTTATTGGCTTATTATAATATTGGTGTTTTTAAATACTGGGGTTCTTGCTACAGAACATCATCGTCAGCCATACTGGCTTGATGAATTTCAAGGTATTTGTTGTTTTTTCTACAATTTTAGTAAATCCATGTCAAGTGAACCGCAAAAGGTATTTCGTTGCATTCTTATACAAGGCTTTCTCGCTTCTTACCACTTTAAGCGCCGGAAGAACCAACAGCCAATGATAAAATGGATTGTGTGACTTGCAGATTTGCACTCAAATTGAAACATTTTGACTTAAGTTTTAGTCATGTAAATAGGGTGAACGCTGAAAAAATTACGACTTCTCTCCGTTATTCTTGTTTTCATAGATCCTGTGTGGAGGGGAATCAAAAAGATCGTGGAAATTATTCCAAAAAAATATTCAAATCCGTTGGAGCCATCTAAACTAAAGTTCTCGCTGGAGAAAACTACCATTTTCTAGTCGTCCTTCTAAGAAATGCGAACCGTGGTTCTTAACGTTTTGCATTAATTGCCATTTTCTGAAAGTAATTCACAATCTAACTTGTTGCATCATGAACACCATCGTTTATCTTTAGTTTTGATCCACTTTCGTGACAATAAGAAGCTGACCTCGTGACCAGTGCTGCCAACTATTTTCGAGTAAAAAAATCCATATGTTTATAAAAGCCCGCTAGAAAAACCTAAATTCCACAAAACAAATGCTGAGAAATAAGAAGGTTTATATCAATTCGTTTTTGTTCCGGCTCGAAGGACCAAAACGTTCGTTGCAGAGCTGAGTCACTTGTTCCTTACCTCTCAGCAATGCTTGAACTACAAATACTCTTATTTTAAAATTCTCTACCCCTTACCACTGGTGGGGGGAAGTAGAGTCTAATAAAATAAGAGGTTAGTACTTTCAATATTAAAAGTTTTACCCCTTACCGCTGGTGGGGTCAAGTAAAACTTTAATAAAGAAAGAAGAATGAAGATTATTAAATGCTTTACCTCTTACCTCTGGTGGGGGGAAGTAAGGCATATAAAATAAAAAAGAGAAGAAGAAGAGTGTTATTTGAGAATCTTTTCGGTTCTGAATGTTTATTAAATACTAGATTGCTCTCACCCGCTTCGCTGAGTGCATGAAATTTCTGCGTGCTACATTATGTGTATTTTCAATAAGACTCAGTATACTTAAAATATGCCAAAGACAGAAGATTTAAAATTTTTTTAACCATCTTCAAAATATTTTCAAACTAAGACTTTCTTAAACCTCTCTCTTGTTATATGTTTTCTTATTTACATGTAGTTTAGAAATGACCCAAATATAAATAATTCATTGAAATTATTGAATAGTTTGAATTAAATTTTTAAACAGTTGGCGACCTTTTTAAATCACTTTCGCCTGACAATTAAAGTTGAATTTGAATTTTTAAACATGTGGAAACCCTGCTATACATATGTAGCTTAGAAATAAAGCCTTTTCGAGACTCTTTCGATTAATATCGTAATAACTCATTTAACTTAGTTTGAATTTAGTTTTGAAACAGGTGGTAAGCCCCTTCAAATACCTCAGAAAATTCTGCATGTTCATGCCGAACATTTCAAAACACTCTTACTTTTGACACATAAACTTGAGTATAATCAATTTCTTTCGACTTTTAAAACAGGTGGCATCCCATTTCAAAATATTTTCCAACGAAAACCTTATTCTGGGTTATCGCTGAAACCATCGTAGTCCGATTTTCGTAAAATCTACGAAAACACGATCACTGAATCCCAATGCATTCAAAGTGTGTGCTTCATTCGTATCTATTCAGAATTAGTGATAGCATTTTCGTAGATTTCGAGAAAATTCGGCCTACGACGGTTTCAGTGGTAGCCCTGATTAAACCCCTTTCGTCCAACACCGATATTATGAACATATTCCAATTACTTGATTCCCTTAACTCAAGTGGCAACCTTCCTACATTAGTTTAGAACTAAAACTCTTTTCAAAAACATTTCGATTGGTACCCGTATTTTAGTAATTAAATTAAATTTATTGATTTTAATTTTTAAACGGGGGGGCAACCATTGTAAAACACCTCATTACTTTTGTAAATGTTCAATCTGCAGATTTCGTAATAATCTTTCGTATGCTAGCCATATTTTAATTTTTCAGATAGCTTGCGAATAATTAATTTAAATTTGACTTTTCAAACAGGTGGTAACCCTTTTCAAAATATTTTCAAACAACATTTTTTTAAGCCTCTTGGCATACATTTTTTAATATAATTTTCAAATAAATAATTCCCTTACTTCAAGTTGAATTTGATTTTTTAAACAGGTGGCAGCCATCCTTCATGAATATGGAAGTGATTTAATATATCTCCATACCAAGCTCCAGTACCCTATCACAAATATTTCCTGAGATATGCAGTATGAAAAATTACGTTTGTATGGGGAGGTGCCACGCCCCTCGTCTAATCGAGATTAAATCTATCCTATATTTTAAGTTGGGCTAAAAGACACCAGTGTACAAAATTTCATGATGATCGGTTGAGTAGTTAAAGCGTGAAAGCGTAGCAAACAAACAAACTCACTTTCAGATTTATAATATTAGTAAGGAAGTAAGGATTTTCTTACTTTACGCTTCCTAACTACCCAATTTGCCAAACGACGTCGNTACCTTCTGTCACCTGAAAAAGACTTGCGTGCCAAATGAACTTTTCTCTCAAAGTTTACACTGCTGGCAAATGTAAATAAGGATTACAATTTAAACACTAATTAATCCGACTAAAGTAAAATCTGTGGAAAATTAACAATAAAATACTTTTTTCGCAAAATCTTTAAAGGACCCTTTTATTTCTCAAACAAACCTGGGTAACAGTTGTTCGTCGCCACGCTGTAAAGTAAAAGTACAGTTTTCTACCAAAGTAAAAAAAAACATTATTCCCACAAATTTTATTTTTTATTAATAAGGCCAATAGAGTGAACTTTACCTTTATAAAAAAAACATTTTATATGAGAAATATTATGAATACTGGAAAAAGATGTAGGTGGCTTAATTTTCTGAGCACAAGTGTACATTGTGGATTCCATATTCTGTCATGATAAAAAATTGTCATAATTAAACGGTTTACTATCCAAATGAATGACTTTTATTTATGCCTAGATATATACAAATTTGGGCGTGGAACTTGTCCAACCTAGACCGAAGGTTCCTCAAAAAACTTGTAGGTTCGAAGAAACGGATTCGTTTCGAGTTCACCCAACCGACTTCACCAGAGCGACGTCGTTTCGAGTTCATCAAAGTGACTTCGCCAGAGCGACGTCGTAACGACGTCGTCTTCGCCCTGTGGCAAATTGGGTAATTGTATATGTACATATGTGTGTGTGTGTATGTATGTATATTTACAAAAGATAAAATAAGAAACCAGTGCATTGGTTCTTATGGTATTTTGGTTGTGTGCCTCTGCTACATCTTTGCATGTAAAGAATATTGATATGCAATGTATTTTCTATTTGTAGCACAATAAGGGTTGCTTTGCAGCATTGACATTTTAATGTTTCCCGTATGCGCTGCATTTTTTGTGTGTTTATATTTTTACAACTGATAAAGGATCAACCGATTCAATATTTTATTGTTTCCCGCGAACGTTTACCTACTTAATTACCTACTTTAGTGTGTCGAATGCACTGGACATTCTTATCGTATCCCTGCAAAAAATGGGACTAATCCGGGATGACTCCGGGAGCAATCGCAAAGGAGCATGCGACTAATACCACTTTTGATCTCTTTATATGGAATCAACTGATCGCTTTTGTTCGGGCATGTCCTATGAAGACACTAATTGTTCACCTTTATACCCGAACGGGTATAAAAAGCGACTAGTCACCTTAAAAAAATAAAAATAAAAATTTGCGCCAGCTGAGATTCGAACCGGGGTGCTCAGTTTTGTTAGGCGAATACTCTCTCTGTGTGCCAACGCCGCACATGAAATTTCATTGACTAAGTGCGTACATATCATTAAATCGTTAATAGTACCCGTTAGAGATGAGTTGGGGACTAATTGATCTCCAATTATACCCATAAGTGATGAGTCGAGACTAATTGACCTCCATTAGTACCCGTATGAGACTACTTGCGACTAATTAATGCCCAATTGTACCCGATTGAGAGTAATCTCGGAATACTCTCTTTAGAGATTAGTCGCACAATTTTTTGCAGGGATCTTTGTGTTTGGATACATACATATGAATTTATATATGTAAATGTAAGCGTACAAATTATATTTTCTTCTATTTATATTTTCTTCAGTGGACTGTATTTTAGTTTTGGTGCAAGTGCACAATTTTTATCTTTCCTTTGTATATTCAAGGATTGGAAATGTTTATTACAATTTTAAGTTTGAGTATTTTTAAGACCCAGGCATATATGTATGTTTGTATATATTCACACATGTTCAAAGATGTTTGAACAACAAGGGAAGAAAAAAATATGTAAATGCATATTATGACACAAAATACATAATAATAATAATAATAGATTGGCGCTTACACATATGTTAGTGTTTGGCCGAGCCTCTCCTCCGATTTGTGACGTGCGCCTTGCTGTTGTCACACAACAAAACAGAAATACACTCGGAGGTTTGCCCTTGCCTGCCGACGGACGACCGCTGTTAAGAAAAACCCTTTTGTCTATATTTTTTTGCGATGTTGCTTTGACCAGGGCTTGAACTANACATATGTTAGTGTTTGGCCGAGCCTCTCCTCCGATTTGTGACGTGCGCCTTGCTGTTGTCACACAACAAAACAGAAATACACTCGGAGGTTTGCCCTTGCCTGCCGACGGACGACCGCTGTTAAGAAAAACCCTTTTGTCTATATTTTTTTGCGATGTTGCTTTGACCAGGGCTTGAACTAAGGCGTTGCGGAGTGGAAGCGCGCACTGCTTACCACTACACCACAGCAAAATACATATTTTGTCGAAAAAGCATAAAAATGATTATTTTGGTAATAAGTTAATTCATTTTTACATAATTTCATCCAGCGAGGTTTGTTTAATTGACAAAAAGAGGAAGCTGACAAACAACGAAAAGTTCCGTTATTTTCTAGTAAAAATTGTAATATA